CCTTAGAATAACAGATGGCAATGAATAAGTTACGTTGGCTTGCGCACGTGCTACGTACGCCTGGACTGTTCAGGTGATGTGATGAACTGGGAACAACGAGTGACATTTTGTTCCCTACGTTTGCATACTGTGCCAAGAAGCTTTATACTCTTTCGCAGCTCCATTAACGAGGTTCGTGTTACATCAAAAGTTGTTAGTTACCCGATAACTGGATGTCAGTTTATACGAGACATATGTACTGATGGTTTGTAGGGGTAGCGCTTATCGCAGGAACGGATTTTTTATTATCTCATTTCTCGACCGCGTTCTATTTCGGAGTGAAATTCGGTCACTTGTATTGTATCCGAGACAGCCAAATAGGCGAAACGTGTGCACGAAACCGTTCGTTGAGTGTTGCTAGCTGGAGATGTGTTTATCCGAGTCAGATTCGCTTTTGTGCTGTTTATCCATAAGCGATCTCTCCATGAGGCGGTGCATCGTCCTTCCTAGAGTGACAGCTAGCCGTAATTTATAATTTGACTTATGTATCTCTTCCTGATACTTCCGATAGCGTATGTATGCCGACACCATATTGTAATGCAAAATAGTGTATTTGAGGGTATGACATCCTTGGATCTTAAGACGTTAGAATCTTGTTTCAATTAGAGTAAGGAAGGAAGTTTCTCTTTCTCCTCGAATCGCTAAAGTCCGTGCATCATTTGTCAATCTGAAGGACTTGTGGCATCGTCGTGACGTCTCATTCTCGATGAAGGACTGTGTTTACAGTGCTTCTATTTATTCAGTATTGTTGTATGAGAGCGTGGAGGACATGCCTCGTCATTATGCCTTCGACAACGGTTATCTGTGGAGGATCGTTCGTGTCTGATGGCAACATCGAGTTCACAGTGATGACGTTAGACGTTGCGTCTTGGGGAATGGGAGTATTCCTTTCAACAAGCGGGTTTCGCTGTACCAGCTGAAATGTCTCGGTCACGTCCTATGCATGGCACCTGAGCGTTTACTGCGCTGCGCTCTATTCGCCCGCCAAGGACTGGGCCGAAGGCGACCGCGTGGTGGTCAGCCCTTCACTTGGCGTCAGCACATGAAATCGCTAACGTCGCATCTAGCCGCCGTTGAACCCGTACGTATTCTAGGACAAGGACCCAAGGATGAAGAGTGCCAATGGCTTAACACACTTGAAGACATAACCCGCAACCGGAATCAGTGAAAGAATTGTGCACAGAATTGTACTGACTCACATGTTTACTACCTCAAACATTGGAAATGATGAAAAAGACAAATTCGGCCCGTGAAAAGTGGACTAAAAACACTTCATTCTATTTTTTGTCCAACCGTACTTCCCTTTTATCCGCATGCTTTTTAATGACTCCTTGTCCATCTCTTGGACTGCTTAGTGATATATATATATATATATATATATATATATATATATATATATATATATATATATATGGCGGGAGAGCCTATGGTGCGTTGAGGCTGGTGGTGGCTAGATCGTGACAGATGGTCTACCCACTGCTGCTACTGTTGTGCCATGAACGCCTCCTCGTGGCGACTGCTGGGTGGGAGTTGGGTTACGCCCTTCTTCCTGCTAAGACCCAGGACACCGATCCGCATGAGTCAGTGAACTGACCATGTGCTTAACCGGCTGCCTTTTGGTTGTACATTTAATCGAAGGTTTTAGCTTAGGACCCGAGTCGTTCTCCTGTCAGGTTTGGGCGCCCTGCTAGTATCCTAGTCAATCCTCCAAACCACCTACTGCCTTGTGGGTCAGGCTATTGTGCCAAAGGCTCCGAGCGGAGTCCCTCAAGCAAACCTCCGAAGCACAACCGCCACCTCGCGTGCGATTGCCCACTAATGCATTCATGTGCCCGCTCGCAAAGCAGTCAGCATCGAGTACTGGAACGTGCGCACACTACTGGACCGGAACTCCAGTGAGCGCGCCGAGCGACGCACTGCAGTAGTCGTGATCGAACTGACGCGCTACAACATCGATATTGCGGCGCTCAGAGAGACTCGACTCGCTGACCAAGATAAGTTGCATGAAGCAGGTGCTGGCTACACATTCTACTGGGTGGGCAACGCCGCCTCAGCACCAAACAATATCACACCCGGTAGTTGTGAAACGGCGTGGATAACACCCGTCTGCTATTGCTGAGTATGTTTAATCTATCCATTAACACCGTCACCGTACCAGCTAAGTGGAAAGAAGCTATAGTTGTTCCGCGACATAAAACAGGCTCACCTTTCGAGCTTGAAAATTATCGCCTAATAAGCCACACATCGATCTTAGCAAAAATGATGGAGCGACATATCAAAACTAAAACTATCGAGTTCCTACTAACAAAAAAGCTGATAAACAACTCAGCACGGCTTCTTGAATAATCGGCATTGCGATACGTGCCATCTGGAATTTTTAAACAATATATAACTGCCTTGCATGATATTGGTATATCGGCTAATATAATTTACCTCGACATGCACAAGGCCTTCCAACCGGGTGCCTCTTGAAAATCTGATAGCTAAATTTGTCATACGCGATCGGTGAACCTCTGCTTTCTTGTTTCAGACCATACATTACTAATCAAACGCAGGTGGTACAAATCCGAGAATACAAGTCTCTAAGCCTACACCTGTCACCAGTGGTGTGATACAGGAAAGTGTCCTCGGGCCGCTACTGTACTTAATTTATGTTAACGACATCGACGTAGTGAAATTCGGTACGCCGTACCTCTTTCCTGATGACATTAATATTGTATACACTTTCCGCCCGGAAGCCACCAGTGATGCTGTTAACATGATCTGACTCAACCTCCATGCACTTAAAACCTAGTGCTCCAAGTGGAAAATGTCTCTCCACTGATAAATGTTGCGAAATGTCCCACAAATGCGATTTGACTCATAGTGGCTTGACTCTTGATGGCAAACCGCTTGATCTCAGCCCTATATAGTTAGAGACCTGCGATGGCGATATTCATGCTCAGTTGATTTCCATGAGCTAGTCGGATATGCCATCGCAAGAGCAAGACAGAAAATTGTATTGGTATTCACGACTTTCCCAACATAAATCAGTACTTCATTCTTACAAATTAGTTGTTCGACCAATGTTGGAATATTGTTCACTGGTATAAAGCAGCTCAGAAACGCGCGATCAGATTACACAGGAAAAAGTACAGAGAGCATTCACAAAACACCTTGGTGATTCTCCAAAACTGGAATATTCTGAACGATGTGAGAAGCTCAAGCTTGATCCGCTCTGGATACGGCGCATGAAGCATATTGGAAGAAGTATACATGTTTCCAGCCTCATCAGGACATTAATGCAATCAGCAGTTTACAACACATGAAACAAACAGATCTCAATGGTGGAATGCAAGTCCAGGACAAGCAGGTGTGCCAACATTTTCCCTAACAGGTACGCCGGAGTCTGGAACAAGCTACCACCGAGAATACGTGCCCGCACTAATGAACACGAATTCCGACGAAGCATCAGCAAGTTCTTGTCTGTACAGAACGTGATCAGACTGATTGACTGTGCCATAAAAAGCGTACGAGCATGGTCTAGGTTTCCTACGACCCAGTGCATGCTTCACCGTCATACTATCACCCGTGGTTTAATTGTTTTATGTGTGGGAGAACAGTTAAATCCAGCAAACATAATTTCAATTCAGTAAACTATTATATTATCCCTTTGTTGTCATCCCAATCGTCCTTAATTGATGTGATATGCATTTTTCCTGATCCACCTGCGATTAACGTTCTGTAAAGTATGCACATACCGATATAGGGGTGTCTCGCATCGTCGAGAATAAAAGTTTATTATTCAATAACTATCGAGGTTCAGAAAGAGAAACAAAACACGAAGCTTTAAGCGAACAATTGTTTTCGATTAATTCCTCGTCAGGCTCATACAATAATATACATTAGGGTAAGGTCTGTTGCAATCGTCAGCATAACAAAGAAACAAATGATCAGAAAATTTAACTTTGATCATGATGGTAGTCTTCTGATCACATGACTGAAGTCAGGTGGAGTTGCGGAGTGCCATCACTTCCTCCCCGTCTGGTGGTCAGCCAGGGAAGTTGGTGTTTGTATCCTCTTCTTCTGGACACAAGTCCGGGTTTGTCAGGCGTATGCATACTGCCTCAGCGGTGGCAAGTAGGCTTGATCTTACATGACGGTTATGTCTTGGTGGTATTCTGTATAGAACCTGAAAGAATGTTTGTTTTTTTATCTGGTGGCCTGTACGTGGTACGTAATCGCACTGTAGTTTGTCCTATCCTTGCAATTGTAGAGCAAACCTGGGAGGTGTTCCTTACTTATCTTACCTAAATGCCTGGTCGTCCGTCCAATGTACTTGGCCCTACACGGGCAAGTGAACCGGTAGATATATTGATTGGAGATGATCAGGCACTCGGTCTTTGAATCTCGGAACTATTAAAGTTCTGCCCGTGAAAACCACATTCAGTTGAGCCGCATTAAAGGTCTTTTTGCAGCTTTTCGGTAGTCGACGCGTGCATATCTCAGCCGCACTATGTCCTTTGAATGGAAGAGTCAAGTAAAGCTGTTCCTTTTCAACGGTTTGTTTTCATACTTTTGGTATGCATCGCCTCATATGGGTCCCGATAAATCGCTCCGGATATCCATTTTCGAGATTCGTACGAGTTTGGCTTTTATGGTGTATGCACTGCAAATTTTGTATGCCCACTTAACTAAAAAAGAACGCTAATTAGAGCTTACCAACCTGTGTTGTGTGCACAGAAACTATTGAGACAATCACTTATAGGTTACCGTGGTCTTGATTTTGACATTTTGATTGGTTTGCCAATTTTCCCGTGTATACAACTGTCTATGTATTCCGCTTGTATTGTGTTTGCGACTGATGAGAACAATTGAAATGTTGACATATCACAACTTATGTCTTCTCACTGCTTTGACTAGTAGTATTTACTGGGCTATCTTTCAAATTCGGAAGTGCGGATGTACTCTGTTTCTTAAAGGCTTCAGGTCTACAGTGCTCACCGTCTTCGCCTCCCTACGCTACTATACTGCTATCCGCGCAAAGCCGACACCAGCACTTGCACAAATCCGTCAACCGAAACATATTATAGTGCGTTTAGCCGCCCTGCACCGAGCCTACCAGTCGCAATGCACCCGGTCGACGACAACTGAGGGATTAAACGCATGAAGTTTTCCGTGGGAGACCATCACCATCGACGTGGGCACCTTGAATGTTGCCGCTGTTCACACGATTTCTACTGCCGCACACGGTAGCTGCATTCTACCGGAGTCAATGGATTTTGCACTCATATTGTTCCGGCTTGATGGAGTAAGGTGCTATGTTACTTGAGAAATATATTCTCTTTGTCCACCAGAACCTCGGTTAGCTGATTTTCACCAGACTTCGGGCATTGTGAAGGAACCGCTATGGTCACGTCGGAACCGTACCTGATCGCAAGTGTATGAGAGCGGTTTGTATAAAATACTTTGGTAACAATTCTGAAATTGCCAGTTTTGCTCGACTTTTATGCATAAAAAAATAAAATGAATCGCCAGCTGTACGTCGTAACAGCGCGACCACCACCAGTCGCGCGTGGGCTGAATACACCGCGAGGACGCCCGCCCCTACGCGGATTCGAACCGGTGACCTTATGATTGCAAACCAGACACGCATACCACTCGGCTACCGGCCGACGAGACTTTTATGAACAATATTGTGATGTACACTGCTATCAGAGGTATTTCTCTCTGTCAGATGTTTGAGTAATTATACCTCGGTAAGCCCGAAACTTGTAGCCGCAATTGTCAAATCGCTGCTCCCGATAAACCTTCGAGCATGGCGTACATCTTTAAAAAAGTGGCAATGTGTACGGGTTCTACCATCTCGCGTAGTCGAACGGTACTTCTGTTACGATCACACGTCACAAGTCAGTGGGATTTTATGTGGTCACTCCAGGTTAATCGCACCGAGCAGGTTGGACAGTGTAATGTTTTGTTAGCGACGTGCTCAATAACCGCCTTGGGTGTAAATACCAGGATACCGGTCCATTTTAAATGGGCGTTTCCCGCATTAGAATAGTTTCCGTTCAAACACAATATGCACCTTAACGAGAAACATGCGTATGGCGCTGCTGGAAAGCCATGGTGTTTGATGACATGCTCGAGACAAAAAGTCTGCATTTGGTGGGCCAATTTTGCCTTGTAAGTGGACAACATCAGCAAGGTTCGCTGAGTGGGTATGTTGTTTAAATGCCTTTGCATCGGTGCGTTTTCCCACGTGCTACCGTAGTACATCTACCAAATGGGTTGTCGTTTGTGTGTCCGGTGATCTGCGCATATTGTACACCATATAGCTGAGTCGGGTACTCAAACGCGTCAAATGGCAGAAAGTCGATGAGAAGGCACAAAATGAATACAAGGTGCCATTCGATAAACGAGTATTTAAAAAATTGCCATAGGCACAGCAAAATTCACAGATGATGCATAGATAGTGGGAAGAATGCTAAATAAGGAAATAGATTGATCACGGAAAGATGCTGAAGAAGAGTACCGGTTAGGTTTGGAGTAAATCCATCAAGGTGGACTTCACGATGAATGATTAAGAGCTGTCAGTGGCGGTAGTGTGCTCCGCGATCGATGGTTTGGCTTCTCCCATAGGTGATTCGAGTAGGTGGATGATCGGTTCACACTTGGATCGCATTGCTAACACACGCGGTGATTCCAGTCGCTTGTTGCATATATTAGGGTTGGCCCCACAGCTGTTTTGGAGATAAAATGTAGTCTTATCACCAGTGGCGAGTGATATGAAGTTATCGCAAATGTGATCAGGGCACTGTTTCATTACAAATTCTGATCCAGGTGCTAGTATATGACAAACTGGAATATCGTATTTCGCCTATTCTGACTAATACTGATGGGTCCCTTATTATAAGGGAGCATAGACAATGTTTGGCGGCATATTACGGATGAAGTAGCCAAAGCTTTACATGCCCCACGATAGTAAGTATGGAAATGCTGATCAAAGTTTGCCCCAAAAAATCGCTCACACAGCGTTGGATGTCAGTAGCAAGACCACCGCCTTCGGCTTTCCTAGCAAAACTGATGTCAATTTTTGCGTCTTTCCTTCCGATGTTCATGTGAGTTGTGTGAGTCGTTTAATGGAACGAATGTATGCTGTCAATGCGGTCGTTGAGCACGATCACTGTATGAACAGAATAACATGTGTGGGGAGAGCATTTCAAGCGTTGCAAGCATGTATAGGGAAATTCCGATGGTACCCTATGCGGTTTTATTGCTTTGCTAATTTGAGGTGGAGGCTTTCAGACTACTGTTATGACTAAGCTTTAACAGATGTTAGCAAGTGTGACTAGGATCCGTTGAAATTTGATAAGGTATGACAAGGACATCACAAAATGGCCGATATCGTCCGCTCAAAAACCCCTATCATCATCGTCGTCACACGCTAGTTAAAGATGAGAAGCACATCTAATGTGCAGTAATGCAAAAGACAATATGAAAACCACCAGTAATATATATATATATGAAAAGAGCTAGATAGCAAACATTACAGAATAATAACAAAAGACAGTATATTGCTTAGTATCATTATACATCAAGTATGAGATCGCGGTTGGAAGAGCACAAAGAAACACAACACAAACGTCACTGAGGTCGGCTCCTGGTCGTACCAACAAGTGTATCCAGCCAAACGTGTTCATTATCCTTGGGACACCATCCCGGCAATCGGGATGCTCCAACCGGCGACAAAGTGGGTCTCTTGACCAAATAATCAGTTGGCCTCCCCTCCTCTTCCTCCATCCACACCCCGATCGCGCAAACAACGCAGGTCGCGGGAGTTAGTGTGTTGGGATGTGCAACATATTACCTAGCCACCGGAGCCTGGTGCGTAATATAATGGTGCTGAGCTATTCACTCGCTCTTCCTGCAGTAAATACAAACCACCGAACACGCTCATTGCTCACGCGAAGGCAGCGATGGTCGACCGTAACGAGCCTATGTCTGTCGACCTGATGGGCGGAATTTCATAACTGTAAAGGGGGTCGAACGCACGGCTGGGTTATATGCTCTGCCCTTCAGGGCAAGAATGATATCGTGCCGGCTACAGAGGTGGCGGAGATTAGCAAAAACGCCTCGATCTTTTGGTATACGATCCGTGATTTCATCTTCTATTCTAGAGGTGCTAATATACCTCTGTAGGTAGTTAAATTTTTGGCCGAGTTCTATCTGATGACCAATAAGCTCAGCGGAGAGAGGGTTCTCTGCTAAGATTAGAAACCGACTTAGTGTTTCGAGAGTGTACAGCATAGCCCGAAACTGTTAACAGCCATTGTTAATTTGCCCAGTGCTGCTTGGCACGTTTGGGAGTTGTCACAGATCAGGGTAATATCGTAGGCGTGCTCCAAGTCAGGAACTTGATCACATGGAAGCAACCACACATTCCAGGTCGTACCCATTGAACGCAGTTTCTCCTATTGTCGATTACGAATCTGAAGAGAAGAGGTGCCAGCTGGCAACCCAGTCTCACATCGCTGGAGATATTGAAGGGGAACACAGTTTGACATACGCTCCCACTGTGTCCGAGCTACGCGCAGATAGCGCTATGGTAACATCTACTTATTTCTCGAGCACACCTTTCCTGATTCAGCAGTCCCAAAGGCACATCGATCCACCGAATCGAAGGCACCTTTGATGTAAAGGATCACGACTACAGCGGGTCGCTAGTTTAAGTGGCAATGATCTAACAGACGACGTAATGTGAAGATAGTGTTAATAAAGTTCCGACTTCGATGAAACTCGGCTAGCTCCTCGCGAGTCTGTCTTTCACGGGTACCAGCTAGTCTATGGAAAACGATGGAAGCAAGTAAATTAGAGACATTTGAGATCAGATTGTTCCCTCTATCATTGCCGCATTCCGAATGTGGGCCTCCAGTCGGTTGGAACAGGCTCCTGCAAATCATTCACTAGACTAGGTCCCCCGAATTTGAAGAGGGTTGGAGGAAATCCACCTACTCCTTCGCCCTTATTCAGTTTCATCAGTTTGAATTCACGTTCGATTTCGAAACGTGAGGGTAGATCCAAGGAGACGAACCGGGGGGAATGATAACCATTGGCCCATAAGAAATTTGGTAACCCTGGCTGATTAAACTGCTTTCTAAAGTGTCCGACCCATTGCTCCAAGTATTTTGACAAGCTGTGGATTGTCTGTCCACTCTCATCCCTTATGGTCTCGTTAACAACAGGTCTGCTACTCGTTTCTTGTATCAGACGGACTAACTTCCGATTGTTACCAGGGTTAGTGGCCATTTCCATCCTCGTCATCATCATCCTCAACAACATCAGCCATGTGAACTGATAATTCGCCACTGTACAGCCACGGTAACCAATGGAACAAAGGATAGTGAGAGGGACAGAGGAGGGGCCTGTCGTAAAACCTTAACGCCATAAACAAACATTCAGGGTCAAGGCGCCCATACCTTGTCAACAACTTACCCTTATAAACAGGTGGCTGTCATACAAAGATAAGGCGGCATCAGGGAGAGAGCTTCCTTGCGGCTTCCACTGCACTGCGTCATAATCAGCCATCACCCCACAGATAACTCAGCACCAAACACACTTTAAACAGACATTCCGACTAAGAGACGGCAGCAGACGCGCCACTGGTGTCGACTAAGAGTCATGTCCTTTAAAGTTCCGAGCCAAGCAAAAGGCGGGTTACATGGACTCCAGCCCGGAAGACGACACGGACCGACGGCATTCAGTTTAGTAGTCACTGACTGTATTTCCCGCTACCAAGTTAATTTTGCCCACCTCAGGCCTTGCGTCACCCTAAATCTGGTAAACAAAACAACGCCCTCCTCGGTATGCGGTGACCAGGCATACGTATTACGTGCCCAAGCCAACGCAACCTATCCAGTGCTATCTGTTGTACTAAGGAACTAGCCTGGTTATCACTGCCTAACACTCCTACGCCCATCACCGTTGTCGACACGATGGTACCGCCTGACATGGGTAACGTTTCGCAGACAACGATGATCAAAGACTTGATGGCGCCTCAGATCGAAGAGGCCAAGTTTCACTCCCACATAGTAGGATGACCCTCACGGTTGCCTTGTAAACACGGTATTTCAGACCGGTGGAAAACCACTTTTTGACGCAACAGATGTCGCAAATTCAAAAAGGCAGTTCTAGCTTTCGCAATAGGTGAACTGACTTAAGTGGTTACGTGCCCATCGTTGCTGATGCACGTGGCGAGGTAAGTGAAGTGATCAACTGCATCGATTTCTTCGCTATCATTAAGTGGCTGTGGTTCTGCGATAACACTGCACAATGAAGTTGCAAAACGCATGCCAAATGATGGGATCACTCTAGAGATGTTTTCAGGGTAGAAACGGCCACCCCAACATCCTTAAAAAGCAAGCCAATATCGTCCGCATAATCAAGATGAATTAGTTTTCTACCAGTCAGTACTCCAGCGTCTGCTTCGTGAGGCTCCGCAAGTGAACACTCAACGACGAAGTTGAACAAAAATGGGGAAATTGGGCAACCGCGATGAACGCCACTTGTTGTCGGAAAGGCGTCCGACAAGTCACCGTAAGCCATGAAGTGGCCTGTGGTGTTCTAGTACATGGCATGTAAAATGTTCACATTTCATGCGGATATCTTTTCGTGCAAACATTTTGAGCAGAACAGAGCGATCGGCTGACTCGGACGCATTCTTGAAGTCGAGGAGCAAAGCTACTGTCGGTCTGTGGTACGTGTGGCGCTGCTCTAGTACTTGCCGCAGTGAATATATGGTCTATACAGCCCCATCCTGGGCGGAAACCTGCCTGCACCTCCCTAATCCGGGATTTCCTTTCGGCAATGAGACGATGAACGAGAATTGAGGCCACTAATTTTGTCATTACCGGTAATAGGCTAATACCCCTGTGGTTAGCACAATCGGCGCGACTGCCTTACTTGTGCGTTACCACTATAATTGATTCGTTTCAGTTAGCTCGGATGGCCTCTAGCTTTTAGACCTGTTCGAGCAGGGAGGTCAGTGCTTTGCGGAGGACCTCACTACTATCCTTAAATAGTGTGGATACGAGGGAATCCGGGCCAGCAGCTTGAAAACGATTAAGAGTTGTGATCGCATGTAGGACCTCAGACTGCGACGGAGCCACTAAACTAACCTACCATGGCTGTGCCTACATCAATTGAGTAGGTAAAGTTCCCGAAGTAGCGGGCAAACCGAACTGCTCTCAAAGTGCTCCGCCCAACTAGCCATACGGCGCTTCTTATTGCAAACCATGGCACCCCGCTGTCTCTGATTGTCTCACTGACGCTTGGTTTTCTGGGACCAGTGATGCGGATCACTTGGAAGAGTTTGTGATAATTGCCTACTGTTTCTGCCTCCTCCATTTTCTAAGCCCTACTGATTAACCAGGCTTCATTGTCAGCACGTAGATTACCTTTTAGTTCGCGCCTAATAGTCAGTCCGGTCATACTGCGCTCAGAGTCAGCCGGGAGTTTTCTTCTGGATCCCCTTATGTTCGCCGACCTCTCGGATATCCAGTGACTGATGCGGTGACGATTGATAGTGCCGCAAGCAGTGACTCCAGTCTCGTGCATGGCAGGCAAGATCTTATTCTACTGAATCCCAATGTCATTAAGATGAGGGAGCAAAAGTTCGGTATGCAGGCCATCCTGGTAGCCTCCCTGACCTGGAACTGATATAACTTCTCAGTTGCAATCGAAG